TTTTTTTTTTTTTTAAAAAAAAAAAAAAAAAAAAAAAAAACTAGTTTGTACAAAATAAATTAAGTTTCCTTACATTTGTCAATTATGTTATCAGGTATTTATGCAGTAAGGACACATAATTAATTAATTAATTGTAAAATAATTGTAAAGAAACATGAAAAATATATTAGACTTGTTTTGGTCTTACCCATATTTAAAGATGTTGGAATTTGTTTGTAAATCAACCAAAATAATATAAATGAGAGCCAAGTTTCGTTTTGTGGGCTCATGGCTATGTAGTTACCCCCTCCTCAGCCCAATTTTGTAGGCCCACCACATAAAGGTGGGCTCAATAACATACCCTTACTGCCCAAGGCCCAGAAAAATGTTTAGGGCTTTTGATTCTTTAAACCCTAAAATCTTGTTCTTTTCATCTCTCTCTGCCGTCGACCAGAAGCTTTTCTTTGCCACTCCCACTCTCTCTCCCTCTTCTGTTCGACACCAAGACCTTCCTCAGCTGCGAAGTGTTTTGAGGTGAAACAGAAGAACCGATGAGGAAGCTGAAGTTTCACGAGCAGAAGCTTTTGAAGAAGGTCAACTTCTTAGAATGGAAGAGAGAAGGAGGTCATAGAGAAACCCAAGTGATGCATCGCTATCACATCACCGGGCGGGATGATTACAAGAAGTACCTTCCCCTTTCTTCTATCTTCTTCTATTTCTACCGTTTTCTTTGTGTTTACCGCTTTCATTTTTATTTTGTTTCATTTGATGTTATAGGTATTCGAGCATATGCCGGGGCGTCCAGAAGCTGGTTAGCATGTTGAAGAAGATGAACGAGAAAGACCCTTTCCGATTGGAATTAACCGAGAAGCTCCTCGAAAAGCTGTGAGTGCTTGCCTCCTTTTGGCTATAATTTTAGACACAATTTCCTGCATTACATTAAGCAAGTTTGTCGTCTATTTGTGTAAATTAGTGATGAGAAGAAATTTATAGCATGTTGTTAGACTGCTCATTCGATCACTGCTAAAATCTCCCCTTCTAGCTTAGAGGTTCTAACAATTCAAGGGCTAGTTATGAGATTGAGAGGAGTCATTACATTCAAATCCTCCAGTCACAATTGTCCTTGAATTGTCGTCTATTTGTGTAAATTAGTGATGAGAAGAAATTTATAGCATGTTGTTAGACTGCTCATTCGATCACTGCTAAAATCTCCCCTTCTAGCTTAGAGGTTCTAACAATTCAAGGGCTAGTTATGAGATTGAGAGGAGTCATTACATTCAAATCCTCCAGTCACAATTGTCTTTGTATTAAAAAATTGATCCACACTTGTGTCATCGATGCAAACTTCTTTGATAAAGCATTGCTGATCATGTTTCTCTTATTGCCCGATACTCTTTAGGGTTTATAGAATGAAGGGTTTGTTTCCTTTTTCTTCTATGAATGATTTAGACTTTAGTTCTCCATCTTACGCCTATACCTATCATATTAAAGATACTATCAACGTTCCCTTGGACTTATCAATACCTTTTCCTCTCCTATATTGCTTAAGCCATTTTAAACCTGATATCTTTTTGCTCAATGTTTCCAGAACCACTTCATTTCTTCAATCTATCTAAGATTCTGGACTAAATGGCATAGAAACTATCACTATTCATCATGATTAATGTATGTTATAATATTCATCAAGAGGCCAAATCTTTTTTTATAGATGATCCTAATCTGAATGAATAATTGCATGCTAATCTGACTAAACTGAGATGAATTAATACAATCCGATTATATGTAACCATTTCTACTATTATTTGCAACTTTATCTGTAACATATTCCCACCTTTTCTCTCCTGAAAAAAAAAATATAACAGGTACAATATGGGCGTGATACCAACCCGACAGAGCTTGAATTTATGCGATCGACTTTCAGTGTCATCCTTTTGCAGGTAAAACGAACATCCTGCAGAAAAGAATTAATTTCTTCTTTGGAGTTTTTCATGTTTTCTACTGCTAATAGCCCAATATTATCAATACATGAACTCACATCCTTTTGCTGCATATTCTTTTCACCTCAAGCATGTTTTCCCCTTTCTCGTTGCAGACGGAGGCTGTCGACAGTACTGGTACGTTTGAAATTCGCTGAGCACTTGAGGGAAGCTGTTACATACATTGAGCAAGGGCATATTAGAGTTGGTCCAGAGACAGTTAATGACCCAGCATTTCTAGTTACAAGGAACATGGAGGACTTCATAACATGGGTTGATTCATCGAAGATAAAGAGAAAGGTTCTGCAATACAACGATAAGTTGGATGATTTCGATGCAATGAACTGTTGAGAGATGAGTAGTTCTATCCAAGTTTTGGTTCCTTTTTTTGAGCACCTCATCTTGTATGAATCCTTTCTCTCCCACCCTTATTGAATTGGCTAATTAATATAGCATTGAGTGTTCTTCCATTTCCTTTTCTCATACCATATATAATTTTACATTGTATTTTGGTCACTCTATATTTTGGTCACTCTATGAAGACCATATTTTTTCAAAAAAAATAACCAATCTTATCTACTAATAAAAATATTATCATGTTTTAAAAAATTGAATAGTAAAAATGACCATTTTATGAACTTAAACGTTTGCATTTGAAGCCTCAAAAGTAAACAACAAAAAGTTATATAAAACCAAAGGTCTTCAACGCAATGTGCGGTACATTGAGTGTCTTCTTTTACCTGTCTTCTTTTACCTTAACAAAGGTTATGACCACGTAGAATGATGAGACCTATCATTTAAAATCGTGCTTTTCCAGTGTGGGCAAATTGGATATGAAATACTTCTCTACACACGACCCACATGTGCAAACACATGCAGAATGATGAGACCTATCATTTAAAATCGTTTTCTTAGGTGGCTTTTCTAGTGTGGGCAAATTGGATATGAAATACTTCTCTATACACGACCCACATGTGCAAACATGGGCCCACCAAGCGAGCTCGCATATCCCTTGGGCTAGCTCTTTTGGGTTGTTGCTGAACACCCAAAGGGAATAGCGACCGTTGTAGTATTATAATAAACATGATGGTCATTTTAGTCTCATAGTATTCGCGTCCGTACTTATCATAAAATGAATATCCCCATGTATGTAAGATACAATTATGCATGAAGTCCCTGTATTTTTCATGGTAATAAATTATGCAAGACAACCCCCATTCTGTCCTCACATATTACACTCGGTAATATGCGTACATAAACTCTTATAATATCATTTTATTCATAACATAACTTTCAAATCATGACATAAGGGTTATGCATCGTAAATTTTCTTATTTCAAAACATATCATAGTACATCATGACATCTCATAACCTAATATAACATAACATAACATTTCATTTATTCCACAATGTTATTTGGCAAATCATATAGCGACACATATCAAACATATCACACATATGACGTGTAGGACCACTAAGCATGTGTTATCATACGTAAAGCAATTCTTCCAACTAAATCAATAGTAGAATCACTTACTTAGTTGACTTAGACCAAAACTGCTACAACTCCTTAATGCTAGCTTAACGCTACTATCTGAAATTTAATTGTACCCAAGAAGACCCACAATCATAAATTTGAATTCTACTACCGAAATCGACTTACCTAATTTTAACCTACTAAAAGTAATCCTACTAACTTTAAACGCTTCTAAAGAGTTGAACTAGTAAAAAATGGTCCGAACGTATCAGATCCAAGTCACTAGCTTGGAGCCGTTAAAAAAATATATTCTCCAACTAACTTGGAACCGCTGAAGTGAAAGAAAGACCCAGGACCTTCCGCAGAACTTGAGGCATCCTCAACCGAACGTAACATCGAGATGACTTTCATTTTTATTTAAAAATTTTTTGGATTATTACAAGGAAGTTGTGGAGGGCAGAAATGGTACCATTTCTTTAATTGTAAGGATAATATTGCAATATACTTACCTGAATTGGAGGAAGAATATAAAATGTATGAGGTGCAATATAATAAGATATATATTTATATTTATATTTCCAATACATATTTTAAAAAATAAAAATAAGATGGGATAAGTAAGAATCTATCCCCACCACCCGCCGCACCGCCTCTTGGATGCAAAAACGATCAAATAAATTACAAAATCACGATTAATATTTAATGCCATATCTTTTATTAAAACAAAAATATTTGAGACAATATAAATTTACTTGTTTTCTGAAACAAAAATAAAATAAAATAAATATATTAAAATGTTATAAAAATATATGTTTAAAAAATTAATTTTCTATTGAATAATAACATGACAACTAAAGTCAACCCTACAAGTCAGGATTTAACTAAATCCAAGTTTTAGTGGCTCATAAATCAATAATATTTCTAAAACTCTATTTCATGTTTATTTTAATTCTTATTATTTATTTATTTAAATATTATATTGATCGAATTTCTTTTAAATTATCGGGTTCTTTTTAACATTTTAGGTAGAATCCAAAAATGTATTGTGCTAGTAACTTAAATCGTTACGAGTTTACTTGTTCGTTAAACTCTTGTTCGTTAACTAAGCAAGGTCGGAAAAGTGAATATTTTGTGTTGGGTTGGAAGAATATGAGAATGGATATACTTCATATTCTAATTTGAAGTTTAAATAATATTAGAAAAAACCCAATATTGTGTTCCACTTATTTCAGATATTCTACTTACTCCACGATCACACCTCCTCACATCACTACAAATTGTACCCATTAACCATAATTCAAATCATAAATCATCCTTCATGGAATCTTTTTCACTTTTGGCGGACCAGACGGAATACCAGGGATCGGCGGCAGAAACGGCGGTATAAACGGCGGCAACACCGTCGGCGGAGGAGACGGCGGTGTTAAAATTGGCAACGGCGGCATAGGAATGATCGGAATCAACGGAGCTGGCGGCTGGAATGGGTTCGGAATCACCGGAGTCGGCGGTTCTAACGGGTTCGGGATCAGCGGCGCTGGCTGCAGGGGGTTGGGCGGCAAAAGCGATGGCGGCTGAATAACCGGCGGAACAATCGGCGGAACAATCGGCGGAAAAGGAAGCTGAGGGTTAACTTGTTTGGCTTTTAAAATGTCGGTGTTCTTCCGATTGCACGAAGTGGGCTGTTTCAATGGCTTGAAAGCGAAATACCCAGCTGAGAAAACCCTGGTGCCATCTCTGATCTTAGAGTTCTTCAGTTTCAGAGAAGAGGAAGTAGCAGAGGAGGGTACAGAGCAGAAGGGGTCACTGCTTTTGATCATTTTTACAGAACAAGTTTCGATTTTGTTGGTGTGTTCTTGCTCAGAGAATGGCAACACTACTTTGAAATTTCCATTTTTGTTGGTCTTCACTTCCTCTTTGAAATTGGTTTCAGAGGTTTTATGGTCTCTGCATTCAACTGCAACAATGGCTCCTGCAATCAAAGAACGTAACCTCAAATTAGATGCGTCTCTAAGTAAAGATTGTAAAAGAGAAATAAAAAGGACCTGAGATGAAATAGGTAGACTTGGAGAGGCGTTGTTGGGAACAAGTGTCGCAGAACACAGTGCCGACAACAACGGCAGGCTTGTTGCTGTGAAGAGAGTGAGAGAAGGCATTATGGGAAGTGAGGCTCAGAAACAGAGCAAAGAGAAGCAAAGTCCAACCCATCTTCATATTGCATACAAGGAACTGTGAATACAGAGCTTAACCCTCCTCTCCTTTATATACCAATCTTTCACAAACCAAGGCCCTCTCTATCCCTATCTAAATTCCCATATGGGAGTGTTCTGGAAACTCTGACAAGTGAATAAGAAGAAGAATTGGGAATGATTCACATAATTGGGAATGGGACCATGTTGGTTCACGAGACAAGTAGAGTCACCACACATACCAATTTTAACTCTTTTCATCTAATTGTCTTCTATGTCATTTAACAGAAATTGGGCCCATAGATGAATGTTCTTTCCACTTTTAGAACCTTTCACTTCACTTCTTGTACTGTAGAGGAAATAGGCAAAAAAGAATGACTGCACAAACACTTTGTTCAGAGTTTGTATCTCATTTAGAACATTCGTGTTGGCGATGAATCAGCAATCGTAACGGGTTATATACATGCATGAGCATGAGTCATGTGTATGAAAGTAACAATAGAATTGAGTCCAAAACTAATTTGGTTTCACCTCCCACCATCAAAATGTCATTTTTTAATTGAAATTTTTTAACATCATGTTCTTTTTTGGATTTCCTTCGTGATGGATCGTGAATGTGTCAAGATCAAGACTCCATATCGTTGAAAAAGTATACAACAAGCTCCGAGCTGCCACCACAAAAAGTAAAGACAAATGTAAAAGAAAGAAAAAGCAAAATGGTAGAAAAGTGGAGAATGGGGGAATAATTGTAGGCAGACATAAGAAGAAAAGAGGTAAAGTATGAAAACATGAGTGAAGATGATGATGTTCTTGGGTGTTCACGGGTACCAATACGAAGGGCAGAGACAATGGGCAGTGTCTTCATCATCACGGGCTGTTCATATCTATAAAGATTTCATTTTTGTGTGTCTTTTTGTTGAATTCCATTTGGTTTCATTTAATGTCTACCTTGTCCAATTCTGTGTTGTTGTCTTCATTGCAAATTAGAGCGACAGATGGCTTCTCCTACCTAACGCCCGACTCACATTTTATCTCTTATGTCTCATTATGATATTGCTGAGACAGATTCACACATTGCATTGCCATTTCGAACAGTTTACTATTACGCATTGCCATTTCGAACAGTTTACTATTACGTAAACCAATTTCCAATTTGACAACACAAAATTTGAGGAATCATAAACATATTGAATTTCAAGTTCCAATTTGACAATGAACTTATTTATAGAGTGCAGCTATTCTAATTTCATGCGACCCACTTACCAATTCTCTCACTTATCTGCAATCTTCCAAGCTCTTCTAGGCGTTCAAGACAACCACTTTTGTGCGGCAGATTTCTCTCTGTGCCTAAACTTGGGCAATATTGGAAATGAAAGACAAAAAAAGGTTAACTACTAAATGAAGTAACAACCTTTAATGAAGAAGATTTAAATGATAAAATCTTACTTATAGCAAGGGTTCCAAGTGTAGAGACAATTTTGGTAGTGTGAGTGTTCATGGTGTAGGAGGAAGTGCTCGGGCAAGATGTTTAATTACTCGATTGATAAATTTGGGTCCCCACAAAATTTCATGTATGGACTCTAACATGCGTGTGTTAGGATCGCACAATATTAGCTAAAAGTTTATATCCATAAGTCGGTAGGAGAGAAGAATGGAGAAAATATATTTTTATATTTTTAAAGCATCATTTTATTATATTTAGCTTTACTAGATATAATCATATACTATATATAAGTGTCTACTCTTTTACTATATATATATAGTTGTTTAGTATATAGACTATTTACTTTATTAGTTATTGTTACCATCTTTTAGTATACATAGTTGTTTACTATATATGACTATTTGTCATATATAGCTTTATGAGATATAATATTTTTTGTTTACTATATAGGATTATTTGCTATATATATGTCATTTATGATATATAGATATACCATTGATTGAACTATAAATAAACAACAGATTCTATAACTCAACAATTTTTTTATTTGGAGATAGATCCAATCAACTAAGAATTTTATTCTCAAACCACTATCATCATCTTCACTGCATTGCACTATACCAATTAAAGCTTTGACAATCTCAATTTTCCAACATCAACACATGTTGTTAATATGTTTTGAACTTTCTATCTTCTCCAAACACATTACTATCTTCCACTAACCTAAGAGTGAAATGATATCATCTTCTAGTGTGATTTGTCTTTGATAGACCATGTTCTTCACGAACTGAATGACACTCTAACTATCTACATGAAGAAACTTCTCGCACTTGCCTAATTCTTCTAGATAGTCTTTCATCCATATCATCTCTTGCATTAGCTATTGCCACGTACTCAACCTCAGTAGATGAAGAAGCAAAACTGATATGAACCAAGACCAAGGAATTTTCATACTTCAAGGTCCAATTACAAGGACGAGAGCCAAGAAGCTACAACAAACTTTATACAGTTATATTCAAGCTATGGTGAGCTCATCAAAGGAAATTCTAGAAGACGTTGGAGACCTCCCTTATATGTTGTGCAAAGTTGAGGTTCAAGAAAGAGATGAATTAAATGCACTTTAAGTTTCATTTAATGAACTCCGCTGAATTTATGAAACTAGTCCAAGGATGACTAATAAACACATTTTATTCATTGCATTATTTAATTATAGTTTAACAATTTGTTTGTCATATTTAAGCTAGTTTTAAATATAGGAGTTAAGGTTATATTGTAACCCACATAGGTTACTATATTCCACCATTAACTAGCCATTTTAATATGGAGGTTATGGGTATTTCTCATTTACTAGTCCATTTAATTTGGGAGTTATGTATGACATAGGTTAAGGTTGTAAAGGCTATATAAAGCCTTCTTTTCTTTGATTAGACATAGATTTTGGAATTAAGAATAGAAGTTATATTTTAGCTTTGTTGAGAGCTAAACTTTTTCTGCAAATTCTTGTGTTTAGAACTTGCATGTAGAGTCATTCAAGTGGTATTGATCAAACCTCTTGTGGAGTGATTCGAATCACGAGTTTAGAAACGAGTTTTCTTTACTCTTGATCTTGATCATCAAGGTAATCCGTTCCATACTTTCCCTTGGGTTGATTTCCATATCATTTTGGTATCAAAGCTTCAGGCTCAAGATCGGATATATGTGTCATTGCGCTTATCTCTTTTAATTCTCTTATAATTTTTTTTTTCTCAGTTTGTGTAAAATGTTCATGTTCTATCACAAAAATATATATATAAAAAAAAAACCATTGAAAGAAAGAAAGCTTATTGATGTTAAATGTCTTTCTTTTTTCCTCTTAATTATTACATGTAACTCCCATATGTTACTATGTCTAAATTAGTCCTTAATCATTTTCTTTCTTTAATTCGTTTCTTTGTCGTTATTTGGATTGCTCCTTCAATACCCTTGTTTAGGTGTTGAGTGTGCTCTCTATTCACTTTGAATTGCACTTAGCTCTATAACATAGCTTGTCTCACATCCCAATTTGTTTTTTTGAGTGTGATTTGTGTGTGCTCAATTGTAAGGGTGAGTTTGTAAGGGAGTGACACATTGATTCGAGTGTTGAGTGCTAAACACGAGTGAACTACATTTACGAGTGAATACACGTGAGGGAGCGCTTGTGAGGTCCTTTTTTTTCTTTTACCTTTCTTTTATAACATGGAAAATCAAGACGACAATACTGACATTACTGATGCACGATTGAGAGAAGCACAACAACGAACCATGGAAAGACTAATTCGAGGAATAGAAGAGTTGACTGATTGAATAGGAAGATTGGAGATTCAAAATCAAGCTCGACAGAGGATTCCACTACCTACGCCCTCAACCGATAGATACGAGGGCGACAATTCTGATCACCACGAGGATAATCCACATGCGGTTGGTCATGACTTGATGCGAGGGAGAGACCATGGAAGAAGGTATCATAATTTACAACAACGAGTTTCTTATGATGATAGAATTGATCGTAACGTGGGCAGCATCAAATTAAAACTTCCCAAGTTTTATGCCAAAACCGATCCAGAGGAGTACCTTCAATGGGAGAAAACAGTGGAGTCGGTGTTCAACTGTCATAATTTTAGTGATGAAAAGAAGGTACGGTTATGCATTGCTCAATTCAAACAATATGCTCAAATTTGGTGGGATAAATTGATGTCAAGTAGGAGAAGAAATCTTGAAGCACCAATTGATTCATGGGTCGAGTTCAAAGAGTCCATGAGGAAGTGTTTTGTTCCACAATATTTTCAACGAGACATTGCGCAAAAGCTTCAAGCATTGAAACAAGGACGCAAATCTGTGGAGGATTATTACAAGGAGATGGATACATTGATGGATTGACTTGAACTCGATGAGGACATGGAGGCTCTCATGGCGCGGTTTCTTAATGGGTTAAACACAGATATTGCGGACAAGGCTGATTTACAGCCTTATTCTAATATTGAGGAGTTGTTGCACATTGCAATTAAGATCGAGAGGCAAATCCAACGAAGGTCTCAACGGTATTCTTCTAAAACTTTTACCAATTCTACTTCTACATGGAAAAAGGATAGTAAGAACATTGATTATAAGCATAGAAATCAAGAGATTAATGAGAAGTTTCAAGCTAAATTTGAGAAAGGGGAGAGTTTTAGGACAGGGAAAGACAAAGTAGAAAAGTCTAATGTTCGAAATAGAGATTTAAAGTGTTGGAGATGTCAAGGGGTAGGACACTATAGTAGAGATTGCCCAAATGCAAGAATTATGACCATCAAGGAGGGAGAAATTGTTACGGATGACGAGGCACATGACGACATAAATGAAGAAACTGATGAGAGTGAGGAGTTTAGTGAAGAGGACCCTACACATATATCTTTGGTTACTCGACGAGCTCTAAACACCCACATTAAGGAGGACGACCTAGACCAAAGGGAGAACTTGTTTCAAACTCGGTGTCTTGTTCAATCTGTACCTTGTAATGTTGTCATTGATAGCGGTAGTTGCACCAATGTTGTGAGTTCCATTCTGGTCAAAAGACTTAATTTAAAGACACAATCACATCCAAGACCCTACAAGCTTCAATGGTTGAATGA